TTTCCCAAACATTCCATCCCAGAAGACAGGAAAGGAAACTGTGGGGCCTGGACAAAGCTGGGGGTGGGCAGCAAACGTGGCTGCCGTGAGCCCACCAAGTGACTGGCAGGAAGGAACTCGGCTTAGAGTGGAGACAGGGCGCCTGGCTTGGCCCCTTCGTGTCCTCAATAGGACTGCTTCTCTCCTGAGTTCTGGGGCAGTGCTGGTGGAAGGGCATTCTCGACTTCCCCCGCCCCATTCAGTCCAACATGACCGATCTCCATCTTTCCAGTCCCTCTTCCGTGGCTTCGGCACAGGCTCTCTGCATCTCTTGCCTTGCCCTCCACATGACCCACACACATGTATACCCGCCACCAGCCATGCCCCACTTCCCAGCCATCCCTGATACTGAATTCCAGAGGGGTCTTTCTAGGGCCCAGATGCCACGCCCCATCTCCTACTATGGAAAGACCTCCCAGGTGCTCATTTCACAGGGAATTTAAATAAATGAAACTGAGGCACAGAGGACTTCAAAGGTGACAAAACCACCTGCAAGGCCCAAATTCGAATCCAGGGCAGTTCCTCTAGCCTAGTGCCTTTCTCAGTCCTCACAGAGTTTGCACTCACAGAGAGAAGGCTGGAGAACTCCCCCATCTTTTCGTCAAGTCCCTACATGACCCTCATGTTCCCAGCGAACTCTCCTCACTTGTACCAAGGCAGGTGGCAGAATAGAGCACAAGGCGGTGTGGTCTTGGCTCAATTACTTGGCCTCTCTATGCCTCAGTTTCCTCAGCTGCAAAGTGGAGCCAGTGATAACGAGAGTGACTACTTTCCAGTTGAGGTTTGAGTGAGTACCTGGAAAGCTCTCCGGAACAGGGCCGGGCAGTGAGCAAGCCGCAGTAAGGGCTCCCACTGAGCTAATGCTTGGGCTCAGCTGCAAAGCCAGACCCGTGTTTACAGAGAGGATGAGAAACAAGTCTCGTTTGCTCTACTTCCACTTCGGACACCACCAGCTCGCCACATCCCAAACCAATCCCATTGTCTCTCCCCAAACCCACCCCAGGTGAACCCTTCTTGGTGAACAGTTCCACAATCCACCCAGAAATGCATGAGCCACCCCAGACCCCTCTCCTTCATTCCCCACCCCAGTGTGGCCCCCGAGGTTCCACCTCCCCAGAACACCTGCCACCCATAGG